GAAGGGAAGGTCACAGAGAGAGGCTCAATAGAGAGAAAAAGAAATCGTCTTATAATAATAGCATTAATAATAATAATAATAATAATAATAATAATAATAATAATAATAATAATAATAAAAATATTTATATTGACAAGTACACGGTACAACTTATACAGACCTAGCTGGTATACTGTATAAAAATCCCCTTGTTATGTAGAACAATAAAAAAAAAAAAAAAAAAAGGTTTGTTTTATTCCCCAGGATGCGACCCATACCAGTCGGCTAACACCCACGTACCTATTTTACTGCAAAGTGAATATTGTCAGCAGGTGTCTTGAGGAAACACGTCCCCATGTTCCCTCCTGTACCGGTGATCGAACCACAAACCTCAGTGTGTGAGCTGAGTGCTCTACCAACCGAGCTACGGGCCACCGTGAAGGAACGAGGGTATGGTACACTGGTGAAAGATGGTGCCTGACGCAGTTCATAAGTCTTGGTCTGGAAGCTACGAGAGTTGCATGCCTAGATTATGTTAGGCAGACTATGGGTTTTCAAACTGGTGTTTATCTTTGGGCTTTGTAAGTCACGGTGGAACTATAAAAGTCACTGTGGAACTTTAAAAGTCATAGCAGACCTGTACAAGTCACAGTGGAAATGTACAAGTCACAGTGGAAATGTACAAGTCACAGTGGAACTGTACAAGTCACAGTGGAACTATACAAGTCACAAGGGAACTGTACAAGTCACAATGGAACTGTACAAGTCACAGTGGAACTGTACAAGTCACAGTGGAACTGTACAAGTCACAGTGGAACTGTACAAGTCACAGTGGAACTGTACAAGTCACAGTGGAACTGTACAAGTCACAGTGGAACTGTACAAGTCACAGTGGAACTGTACATGTCACAGTGGAACTGTACAAGTCACAGTGGAACTGTACAAGTCACAGTGGAACTGTACAAGTCACAGTGGAACTGTACAAGTCACAGTGGAACTGTACAAGTCACAGTGGAACTGTACAAGTCACAGTGGAACTGTACAAGTCACAGTGGAACTGTACAAGTCACAGTGGAACTGTACAAGTCACAGTGGAACTGTACAAGTCACAGTGGAACTGTACAAGTCACAGTGGAACTGTACAAGTCACAGTGGAACTGTACAAGTCACAGTGGAACTGTACAAGTCACAGTGGAACTGTACAAGTCACAGTGGAACTGTACAAGTCACAGTGGAACTGTACAAGTCACAGTGGAACTGTACAAGTCACAGTGGAACTGTACAAGTCACAGTGGAACTGTACAAGTCACAGTGGACGTCACGTGAACGCTTTGTGTATAACATCCATTACATATACATTGTATATACACATACGATGATAGATATTCACTTATTAATGACTATAAACTGAGCGATGATTATTAATCCATATACACTGAGAAATATTAAGTTTAAGACATATACACTTATATTTACTTATTAATGCATATACACTGAGAGATACTCAATTCTCGGTGGATACACAGAGATTATAATTGCAAGGTGCATATATAATGAGACATTCACCTCTGTGTTTATATACCCTGAATGATACACCTTTATTGATATATATATATATATATATATATATATATATATATATATATATATATATATATATATATTATATATATATATATATATATATATATATATATATATATATATATATATATATATATATATATTATATATATATATATATATATATATATATATATATATATATATTATATATAATATATATATATATATATATATAATATATATATATATATATATATATAATATATATAATTATATATATATATATATATATATGTGTGTGTGTGTGTGTGTGTGTGTGTGTGTGTGTGTGTGTGTGTGTGTGTGTGTGTGTGTGTGTGTGTGTGTGTGTGTGTGTGTGTGTGTGTGTGTGTGTGTGTGTGTGTGTGTGTGTGTATATACACATGTATATATAAAGGGATATACACATCACTCGACCTACATTAGTTCATAAGTTAATATGACTGTTATATAATCTTGACTTAACTAACAGGAGAGTAAACTTCTGTATTTCATTTGAATATTCTTATAAGTTTTTAATATTCCTCTGAATTGGAATATTTTTCTAAATTTATGCTTTCACCAAAATATTTAGTCAATATTACTACTTAATCCAATGTTCATATTTAAAAAAAATATAATAAATATATATATAATTTCCATAAACTTTGGATAATTCAGAACTATAAATTTAGAAGACGAAAGGACTTAACCTCATAGTTTTCAATCAACGGATCGACACCATGCCTAACCCGAGCCTTTAGCTCATAAGACTGTCATTCCCATTAGCCCCCTTGGGGCGGGGATGGCAGACCAGAGAGGCCTAGCTTGTGGCTAGGCCTGGGGACAGTTGGTCCCAAAGATGAGGAGGTACTTGTGCCTCCTCCCATGGGAGACTTAAGTCTCAGACACTCCCTAAAGAGGGAGCCAAGGCCGGACCACCACTTGGAAAAGGCCCGGGCCGGGAGAATACCGGCTAATCTTTAATAATAATAATTCAATCAACGTCTAATATTCATTAAAAAAAAACGTGAAATGTTATAACAAACATAAAAAAAAAAACTTATTTTTATTGCATATTCCGACGCTTCAGAACCATCTAATATCTTTTATTGCATATTTGAAATTTTAGATGTAGCGCACAGAAAAATATAGAGTTGAAATTACTACTACATTTTAGGGTGAAATTCTGATGGTACATCGGCTGTAGAATCGAATTAACAACTAAGTTGTCAGCCTTATGTCAGAAGTTTATGTGGTAAAAGCGTGTATCAGTTGGGCATCTTTTGTAATTTTCAGTTTATGTCAGTCTTATGTAGTCAGGGAAGGTCCGGAGCTAATGTGAATTATTCCTTGACTACGTTAAGATGTGCTCATTTAATTATGTAGTCAGACATTATGGTTAGTTGAAGAAACTTAGGAGGAAAACAATGGAGGAGTGTCTAGGAAAGAGAAGAGGCGGGACGAACAACAAGGGAGAGATTAGATTTTGTCGCCGAAGTGGCTAGTTTATTGTGCATCCCATATCCATCCTGTGGAGGGTAGCACAAGAGCATATGGATACACAAAAAAACCTAGGAACTGGGTCCCAAAAGGATTAACAGGAGTACATCTGGATTTATATCTACAGTTTACTTATCTGTTACAAGCAAATTTAAGAAATGTATTAAGCAAATTTAAGAAATTTGCTTAATACAAATGGTTAGGGAAAGGGGAGAAGGGGAAGGGAGGAATGGTCTTAGGAAAGAAGAGGGGAGGAAGGAAAAATAGATAACCTGGGTAACTGGGTAAAGAGGGAGATGAACAGGGCAAGAGTACCGAGTACCTTCATCATGTTCCTCAATCTCACCCTGCGAGTTGTAGTTGAAAAGTTGAAGACACACGTTATGGGTTGATGAGCTGTGATTCTAGTATAGGGGGCGCAGGAAGAATTATTTTGAGCTTGGGGGGACCAGGAATTATGTTTTAAACATAGGGGTGCAGGAATAATATTTAAGCATGGGAGTGCAGAAACTGTTTTGAGTTTATGGAACAGGAACTGTCACGAGCAGGGGGGTGGGGGTGGGGGGGTTGCAACCATATTTTTAGTATGAGGATGGGGGAGGGGGTCGTTGGAACCATGTTTTGAACATTGGAACGCGCAAAAGTAGTTGTTCAAACGAGCAAAACAAAATAATAATAATTTGAATAAATGGTTTAGAAAAAAAATCATCATCATCATCTTCTGTTTATCTATACTGGACTGAAGAAACCACTGGCGGGCGAAACGTTTCCAGAACAAAGATTCACAGGTGTTGCACGAGTGTCTTATACATCATCACAATTACCATGCATCTGGGTGTTGACACGAGAGTCTTGACAAAGGTTGTGTGGTTGTGTCCACACCACCAGTACACCCAACCATCTCAACCTCATTAATCCACCACAACAGATTTTTGTTATGTATTCAACACAGAGTTGAGAGTTGACTGGGCAGTACCAGTCTTTGTGCACTTACAAGAAGGGTGTTTTGATCCTAGCAACTGGCGCTCCCTTTCTCTCCCTCCTTCTTCGCATTAATTAAAACCGTCTGCCTTCTATTCCCCATTCGTTGTATGATTCTCGAGTATTTATTGCTTCCCCGTGAGCAAAACAACAACAACAACAACAACAACAATAATAATAATAATAATAATAATAATAATAATAATAATAATAATAATAATAATAATAATAATAATTCACTCTGAGTAAAAATATTGACATACAGCTTCAGCCTTAATACCTGATAAGCCTTTATCTGTTGCAACATTCAGGTGTACCTGATGCGTTCTTATGTGTTGCAACATTCAGGGTTGTTGTAACGCATTCACATTGTTCATTATTGATCCTTTACATTTATATAAAATGTTACTAATGAAAGCTATAATGTACATGAGCGTTCATTATTGGTGTTATTTGTACACCAGAACTCCAAATACCTTCATTGTTTTAGTGTGGAAAACTGTGCGAACGATTTATATATTACATTATAAAATTGCTTCAGATCTCTTACAACTTGAAAACGTGATTTATTTTGAGTTTCCCACGACTTATACTGCTGATATTCTCAACATCCCACGACACTAGGCCAATAACAGGACAAGAACACCTACAAGAAGTGACTCTTCGATATTTCTTGATTTTTCTCGATCTCAGGAAAAAATGTACAGTATATATATATATATTCAAATACATTAATGATTCTCCCTCTCCCCTCAGAAAATTAAATTGGTCACAGTTTTGATTTTTTAGTGCATGTCTTGTCTTCTAAATTTATTATATCCTATTACAAAGTGGTAAACAAATGATAAATGAATGTTGATTCAAGTAGCATTTGAAGAATTTAATCTTGTTAATCCACACTATTGTTATAACAAAAGCATTCTGTATGAAGCAAGTGGAGCTTCCGATCTTACCGAGCATGCCAGCCCATTTGTTCCTTTATAGAGTTTATGCGAAAGGATTGGCGCAGTGAGAGCTCAGTAGCTAGTTGGAACACCACACAACGGTAAGCAAGTGACTGCAGCAGAAGCTCAGCGTGACCCAAGTCTCGAGAGAAGACCAATAAAGTAATCATAAGAGCTTCATAACAGTGGCCAGCAACAGGTTCTCTCCCCAGTGTGAGTCCCGGCCCCGGGCAGACGCAGCGCCCCTTCCTCCTCGCCGCGAGTGTTCGCTGTGTTCCAGCGAGAGTGTGAGCATGAGGCTCCTCCCTGCACTCTCTGTGTGTCTGGCCGCAGTCTTAGGCAGGTGAGAAACTATGTGTTTATCAGCTGGTCAAGACGTGGGCGGCCTGAGTGGTGTAGTGGTTGGGGGCCTCCAGGGGTCTATATATTGCCATATAGGCTCCAACCCCTTGAGTTTGTTTTCGTTGCACGCGTTTTCTATCATATTGCATTTCAACACTGTGCAAGAGTTGAGTGTATATATGTTTGATTTTTGCAAACGGGGGGGGGGGGGGGACTGCTGTGGGGCTAGCGCAGTGTGAAAGGTGGGGCGCAGTCATAGGGTTGTGTGGACATGTGTGGCCGGTGTGGAGGGGCCGGTTGCAGGGCAGGCTGACACACACACACACACACAAGGCCACAACTGTGCCTGACTGCTGTGAGATACGCAGTGCCACTCGGTGGATCCCTTCCCCCCCACCCCTAATCCCTCCCACGCCAAGAGGTTGCCAACTACACTTACAAGTGCCAGCAAACATAACACGATTCCAGCAAACGTATTTCTCTTCAATTAACGTGTAAGATCTTCCAGCGTAACAACGAAAATTTTGCTAAAAAACAAAGATAAAAAGTGAAATACCCAGAAAATGCAATATTTCTTAACACTACTCTAATAAACTGATAGACATTTAAACATGTAATCAATTTTATTATGATCTGAAAGCCAGAAAAAAAAATGCAGGATATTAGACTGTCAAGGAAGACTAATAAATTTGTGAGGGCAGCTTGGTGGCAGTGGCACTGAGACTGCCAGAGGCTCCAATATCCTTCCTCAGGTCGAGCTTAATGTTTGTTTGTTCTTTGCTTCTTACAAGCCAAACAAACAGCCGAAAACTAGGATACAGACACTGGAAAATGAGACATCAGCTTAAGCTAGCAGGAACAGAGCTACTTCCAGCAATATCTTGGTGCTAGTCCGTCGTGGCTCTGCGAATTAACTAGTCTCCATTGGCTATTTCCGTTTTGTTGCTAAAGTGAAATTACCTAATTCTAGTCAAGAGGGTATGCAGACCCCACGGATTTCACACACACGTCAACACTCAAAATTAACGCCGACGTATACAAAACAATTTTTTTTTACTAAGAAACGTGGTGGGTGGTAGTGGTGTTTGACGCAAGGTTCTCAAGAACGTCAAGCCTGGGCACTTCAGCCAATAAAACTCGGGTACAACTACTGCACACAGGCCAGCTCAAATAGTCCCTCACTAATGCACTTGGGATGGTTGTTCAGATGCGGGCGGGTTCTGTCTTCTCAAACGACGTGTTCAGGTGACGGTTCTGATATTCCTTCCTCTCATCCAAGACCTGTCTGATAATAAAAAAAATTTGGTTAGACCCGAGAGTCGACTTGATTAAGCAGCGGCATTCACCTTGGGAGAGAACTTTCAGAAATGAAGATAGTACATTAAGTTGAAATAGTTCACTGCAATTTATTTTTATTTATAGGTTAGTACAATTGCATGCCGTTGGCGATATCAGCTGCATCCTTGGTTGCTGCAGCAGTCAGGTATCACTGCATTTACAAATTGCTTTTTCTTAAAGTTGCAGCAAATCTTGCGCGTTCATTGATTTCAATCAGGGGGAAAGTGACGGCAGTAGAGCGCCTGGGAAATGGGAGGCATTCGGTTTGACCCTCAAAGACCCCATCACCAGCATCAAGGGGTCATCATCAAGGGGGTCCATCAAGAGGTCTCCCTTGAGGGGTCTTCCTTGAGAAGTATTGAGTTATTCACATTCGTATAATACTACGAGTCTTAGTTACAACGTGCTCATAGTTTCCATAAATATTAATAGTAATAAATACACGTATATCTCTACACATTCACACATTCCACCTTTCTCATCACACTTTTCATCTAACACAAATCCCCTGTATTGTTGTACAGAGTCGACGACCTTCCTGACGTGTATCTCTCCCTGAGCTAACCATCCGGATTTTTAAGTTGTATTTTCCTTGGAAATTTCTTGAAATGTTTTGCGTTTAAATCTATTTTCCGTGTTTCGATGTTAGTATCAGATGGTGTCCATTACATTTTTACTGATATTATACTTCAAGTATTTTTTTTTTTTACGTTCTCTGCAGTACTGCCAGAGATAAACGGATTTAAGACAAATAATGCGAAAGATGACTATGAGAATACAACTAAGGCAAGTACTTTTTTTTTTTTTTTTACAAAATCAGTAGCTAATTTAAGTGCAGCAAGTCAGGTCCGGATGGACGATGCCAAATCCTACACTTTTTTTTCCAGACATTCCAGGTTGTCTTATAAACTTTTAGTTACGCATTACACTTAACGCTGATTCAATAGCCTCATCCTCAGAATCTCATTTTTCATTATCGTGTCCATGGAAGAATGCTAAACTCTTCGTAAGGGTTACACAGAAATTTCCAATGATGAATATCTGGCGGAGATCTCCAGGTTCCTGGAGGAGATACTGTCCAGGCGTTCACCTGCATTCATATGCTGCTATGTATGATAATCTATGTAACTGTATTTGTGTATACCTGAATAAACTTACTTACCTGACTAGAACTCCTGTTGGGTTTATGGCCTCTACCACCTCTCCCCGTCTCCCACTGAGAGCTTCTCGTGTGTAGCAAAGTTCGCTGTGCAGTTCGTAATGACTTACGCCTTTAGCAGTTATATTTTTACAATTTCATCCTTGATACTAAAGATTTTTGCCTGGTACTCATTAACAATTTAACAGCAAAAAAAAATGAAAGAAAAATGGTGTTTTATTGTTGTACTGTGTCATGAAGGATGGTAAACTCAGCCTCAGAATGATACTTGAGTTACAAATTATGACAGTTCGAGGGACGCTCAGATTTTTCCTCTACCTTGATTTTTGAACCTGCCCAAGTCTTGAATTTTGATTTATCAAAATTTTAGAGTATATTCCCAGAATATACTTAAATATTCGCAGAATATACTCACCTTGACATGGAGTATATTCGTGGAATATATTAGAAACATTCTCAGAATATAGTGAAAATATTCGGAGAATATACTCACTTTGATTTAGAGTATATTCACAGAATATATAACAAAGCTATTAATTTTTCACTTCCTGTACCATGACTTATTTTCTTCGTTTCCTCTTAACTGATTTCCTTTCTTATATAGATCCTTAGTTACTCATGGTATAGTTAAGGACTGGCCATTATATTTCAACTTTCTCTCTACTCCTTTTAACATATGATATACTCTGTACACCTGACTATAATAGTTTCTCTCTTGCTTATATATTGTGCTACGACCAGGTAGGATATATCAGATTGTAATAATGTTGGTAGAATTACCCACAATATGTTAGGTAAAGGGACACAAGTGCAACTAATGTGACATTTTATTGTGGCAACGTTTCGCTCTCCAGGAGCTTTGTCAAGCTGTTACAAACAATACAGGGACACAGAGGGTATATATAGGTATAGTGAGGTGTAAAGCTTGCTGCACAGGCGAAACGTTGCCTGAGTAAAGTTCCCAACTGATTCTTCTGTCTTTATCTTTTATAACATGTAATGTTGTCTTCGTTTTCACTACTGATATATAATTTCCGCTTTAATTTAATTTACATCAAGATATTTTAGAGCTTCCTCTAAATTTTTATACACATTACCTCAGGTGGAGGCTCCTTGTTGAAGCTGTGATGGATCTGATATACATCGTAGATAAGATTATGAATGATTTATTTTAGGTTGAGGAACCATGTTGCCGATCTTAGTTTAATCTACTCAGAGCGTGTACATTATCAAGGCTAATATGCGCTTCCAGTTACATTCTTCGTATTAGGCCAACCACTAGGTTCTACTTCGTTTATAACGGTTTTCTTTAACGACACCTGCTTTCCCTATTCACCTAGCAGTAAATAGGTACCTGGGTGTTAGCCGACGGTGTCGGCTAGTGTGACTAGCGGTGCCTCACCAAGTTCCTTTCTGAGACTGGTATTGTTTACCTTCTGTGAAAAAATGTGTTTACATGCTTTTTCGCGGTCGGTGTAGAGCTAACGACAACAAAAAATGCAGGAAAGAAAGGGAAACATTACACGAAGACTTAGATAAATTAAACAAACGTAGGTATTGGACTTCAAACCCAGCAAGTGAAAAGTTATGAAAATCAGGGAATAATAATAACAATAATAATAATAATAATAACAATAATAATAATAATAATAATAATAATAATAATAATAATAATAATAATAATAATAATAATAATCTTTATTTGTAAAAGTACATGTACAACGTATACAGACTTATCAGACTTCAATGTATACAGACCTACCTGATATCAATGTATTTACTCTCATTCCAGTCAGTGTATATTTTGTCTCCGCGAATTGATAAAGTTCCTGGTGGACTAAACGTCTTTTTCACAGAAACGTAATAATAAGAGAGGTCGTTAATTTGGTCATGGACTGAAGATAATATAATAATAATATCTTTATTTCTACATGTATACAGTCCTAGCTGACATCAATGACATTCTACTATTATAGAAAGCCGTTTCTTATGCAGAGCATTTCGGGCAAATTAGGTCAGTTTTGCCCCAGGATGCGACCCACACCAGTCCAGTAACACCCAGGATGCCACCCAGACCAGTCCAGTAACACCCAGGTACCCATTTTACTGATGGGTGAACATGGACAACCGGTGTAAGGAAACACGCCCAATGTTTACTAGTTAATATTTCTTTGCTCTTCGAGTATTTCATCCACATTCCTCTAATTATTTTTTTCTTTAAGTACACAAAAAGAACGCTTATCTCCGAAATTATTATTTTTATCATCATGGGGAACGCTAAACCCGTATAGGTTACACTGTTCCTGCGAGAAGGAGGGGTGGGGGGGAATGGGAAATTGTAGCACAGATCCAGTTCCCTAGATCAAGAGCCCCTCACCAGCATCAAGGAACCTTCCTTGAGGGTCGTCACCGAGAGTCAGCATTTCTTTCGAATATTGGCACCTGTTGTGCCA